TGGTAGAGTTTACAACACATAAGGAAATCACATCAGATAACACAATCATACAGTACTGGGAATCATGACCTAGCCAAGGTGCTACACACATTTTTGGGGGGACACAGTTCAATCCATGACACCCATTTTAGGAAAAAGAAAAACAAGGCTCAGAGCTATTAAGTGACCTATCCAAGGTTGCATACTTACTGAATGATGGGGCCAGGATTAGACCTCAGGTCTCTTGATTTATGTTCCACTGTTTTTCCTCACCATAGCAGATGAAATCTGAATTAATTAAGCTAAGAGCCTGTAGCATGTGTTAGATAAGGAGCATCTGGATAAAGTGAGAAAAGTGAAAATAGAAAGATAAGGACATCAATTTTCAAGGAAGAATCATCTGAATTGGGTGACTGATTGAATATAGGATATGAAGAGGAAAATATCAGAGAAGACTGAGTTTTCAGCCATGATAACTGAAAGAAAAAGTGGCAGAGATTGGCAAATTGGGAGAGAGGAACATTTGGGGGAGAAAGTCTTAAGTCTGGTTTTGGACATTGTATTAGTCATCTAGTGCTGCTGTAACAGAAATACCACAAGTGGATGGCTTTAGCAAAGAGAAATTTACTTCTTCACAGTAAAGAAGGCTAAAAGTCCAAATTCAGGGTGTTAGCTCCAGGGGAAGGCTTTCTTTCTCTGTTGGCCTTCTCATCAATCTTCCCCCGGACTAGGAGCTTCTCCACTCAGGGACCCTGGGTCCCAAGGGTACTCTCTGCTCCCGGCACTGCTTTCTTGGTGGTATGAGGTCCCCCCTCTCTGCTTGCTTCCCTTCTCTTTTTATCTCTTGAGAGATAAAAGGTGGTGCAGGCCACACCCCGGGGAAACTCCCCTTTACATTGGATCAGGGATGTGACCTTAGTAAGGGTGTTACAATCCCATCTTAATCCTCTTTAACGTAAAATTACAGTCACAAAATGGAGAACAACCACAGGATACTGGGAATCATAGCTCAGCCCAATTGATACACACATTTTTGGGGGGTCATAATTCAATCCATGACAGACATGTTTAGCTAGAATTGATGCAGTGAAATCTATTCTTGGGGAAGCGTGAATTCTCTTAGACAAAGAGTCATCCTGATCCCTGTCACTCACCCTGAACCTGATATCTGGTACTGGAAGCAATGACTACTGAACCCTGCTTCCCTGAGCAGTTTTCAGATGTTTTTCTACTGTTAATTTAAATTTGGACTAGTTTTATGTATCTTTCTAAATGAGCTATTTGACTTTCTAAAGAGGAATAATGAAAAAAGATCGCTTACTTAATAGTAATATTAACAATACTTTTCTTTATAACAGTGTATACTTTCCAGAGCATTTTTTAATTCTCACAACAGGACAGAAAAGTAGGCAAAATAAATGTTATCCTCATTTTATAGATGAGGTACCAAACAGAGAGATGAGGTACCAGACAATGTCTCAGAACTGGTAAGTAGCAGAAACAGGTTTAAAACCCATTTCACCTGGCCTTAGACCCTTCTTTGAGGGTCCCTTTGTTTACAGCTTGTCATTTCTGATGGATCTTTCCTCCCGGACAGGCAAAGGAAGGATGAACTGGAGCAGAGAATGTCAGCACTACAGGAGAGCAGGCGGGAGCTGATGGTTCAACTGGAAGGGCTGATGAAGTTGCTGAAGGTAAGTTTGGGGCCCACTTTCAGCTCTCCTTCCCCTACCCTCTCAGCTCTCCTTGTTCATTTTCCACAACAGCCTCCACTTCTGCCTCCCATGTAATGTCGAAACATGATGAGACTACAGCCTTGAATATCGCTGCCTAGATAACCTCCGTAAATGTAGCCTAATGAGGTATAAAAGTTATCTAAATTAATGGAAAGCCTGATCGTAAAAAATTAGTAACTGGAAATAGGATAATATTCTTAGATAGTCAATGTCATGAATAAATTGTTGTTGTTAGGTGCCATGGAGTCGGTTCCAACTCATAGAGACCCCACGTACAACAGAACGAAACACTACTCGGCCCTGCGCCATCCTCATGATTGTTGTAATGCTTGAGCCCATTGTTGCAGCCACTGTGCCAGTCCATCTCATTAAGGATTTTCCTCTTTTTTACTGACTCTACTTTACCAAGCATGATGTCCTTCTCCACGGACTGATCGCTCCTGATAACATGTCTAAAGTATGTGAGACAAAGTCTCGCCATCCTCATTTCCAAGGAGCATTCTGGCTATACTTCTTCCAAGACAGATTTGTTCGTTCTTTTGGCAGTCCATAGTATATTCAGTATTCTTCAATAACACCATAATTCAAAGGTGTCAATTCTTCAGTCTTCTTATTCCTTGCCCAGTTTTCACATGCATATGAGGCGATTGAAAACACCATGGCTTGGGTCAAGTGTACTTTAGTCCTTAAAGTGACATCTTTGCTTTTTAATACTTTAAAGAGGTCTTTTGCAGCAGATTTTTGCAATGCTATGAGTCTTTTGATTTCTTGACTGCTGCTTCTTTGAGCATTGATTGTGGATCCAAGTAAAATGAAATCCTTGACAACTTCAATCTTTTCTCTGTTTGTCATGATGTCACTTACTGGACCGGTTGTGAGGATGTTTGTTTTCTTTATGTTGAGCTGTAATCCATACTGAAGGCTGTAGTCTTTGATCTTCATCAGTGCTTCAAGTCCTCTTCACTTTCAGCAAGCAAGGTTGTGTCATCTGCATATCACAGGTTGTTAATGAGTCTTCCTCC